CGCTAAGTTCTCGCAGCGCACCTAATCAAACAAACTATTTAAATTAACTATTTCTTTAGAGTTCCGGTTTGTTTTACAATAGTTCTAGAGTTCTATATCATATATAACAATAGTCTATCTTGCCAAATACTCCGTCCAATACTATGGGTGCTTTCCAATTGCAATATCCCTAGACACTTTCATGCACACGGCGACACAAGTTGCATTCCAATTGTCATAACCGTCGACACAACACTACACATCCGTACTCAGCTTGAAGGCTATTACTAAACGGCTGTGTAAACTAGTGTTTTCTAGTGAAAATTAAAGTTAATAAGCATAGCGGCTTGAAGAGAGACTGATATTTGCGACGTGAAATGGATATCTTTTTTATTAGTTAGATTTTATTATTTATTATTAAAAAATACCAAAATATAAACATAGTTGAAAAATAATCCTAACCCTACCAGACATACATACACATTAGTATTAGAGATGCCCGATTCTGAGTCGATTCGATTCTTTCTTCAAAAATAGGCTTATTCGTGTTGTTTGCACTCTTCGCATTTTTCGTATTTAAAACTAGACAGAAGTATATTGGAATGTTTCGAAGAAGCAAAACGAGACAACCAACTCAATTGTTTCTTCCAAGCGTCTGATTAGGCGTCCATCTCTTTTTAAAAGCGAAAAGTATGAAACATGCAAGCAGCACGAACAATCTTTTTTCTCTAAATTTGTTAGGGAAAGAATCGAATCGATTAAGAATCGGGCATCTCTAATTAGTACACACTTTGTTCCAATTGAATCGTGCACAACGTTACACTTTGTGTACGTTACACTTGTGTTCCAATTTCGGCCGATTCTCGGGAGTTACGCCTTCTACCTCCCCCTTGCCGCGCGGCGGGCCACAAAAGTGATGGTCGTGGCCAGTCGCGGTTTCAAGCTTGGTGGCTCGACCGTAACTTTTGTGGCCCGCTCGCGACAAGGGGAAGATAGAAGACGTAGCTCCCGAGAATCGGCTAAAATTGGCAAACTGTTCCGAGCCTTGCTCTACACCAAGGATTGAGGTCGTAGTGCAACTCAACGGCAAATCGGACGCTCTTCTATTTCCAAATGATAGAACTCGAGAGAGAGAGAGAGAGAGAGAGAGAGAGAGAGAGAGAGAGAGAAAGAGAGAGAGCAGTGGTATTGTTTTCATGAAAAATATATAAAATTTACCAATCTATAACTTCGGTAAAAATAATAAAAATGAGATTATTCGAGAAACATTTTAAAGAATAAAGATCCCTCTTTTTTAACTTATGTAAAGATCCTTATATTCCTATAGTTTTTTGTTAAGATATATTAAATAGTGGTGACTGTTTACTTTTTATCTTAATTATCTTTTAATTGAGTTTTTATTCCGAAAAATTATTGATCTCAGCATCGCGATAGATACATTTTAAAAAGTTAACGTTTAAGTTTTTATTCATTTATTATCGAATGTCATGTATTGAATTGCCTTCTGTAGCCGATAAAAGCTAAAATTCCATTTTTGCTTAAACGATTAATAACATAGTGAAAAATAATGCATCACAACTTCCCAGTGAGAAATGACTTACGATCGATATCAAAGACGTCGAAATCGCCAAATCGACGTCTTTTCGTCTATTGGTAAGTTATTTTTCACTGGGTTGCGGCCATGTAAATTAAAATAAAAGGTTTGCGATTTAACAATGTGAGCAATTTAAATGTTTTTAATTCAAAATTTTTTGTTTACATGAAATAACTCAACAAATTTCATTAAACATGTTGACAATTTTTCATTAACATTTGTGTAACATTGTAAAAAAGAAGTATAAACGTCCAAAGATATACTTGGACTAACCAAAGACTTTATATAAAAAAATACTTCACTTCATTAATGTTATCTTTCCAAAAGTTATAGACTGTTAAATTTCATCTACCACACATGATTGAGAAATGTAAAATTTAAAAATTAACGGTTTACTTTTTGGAATTATAAACAATTTTTAAATGCCATGTTTTACAAAGAGTGTATAGATCATAGCAATAAAACACTTTACACAAAGTAGAGACATCCATATTTATATATTTCTTGGATCATCTTATTTGACAATATATAAATCCATCTAAAATTGTTCTTATCATATTACGACTCTTTTAACAAAAACATCGTTTCATTTTTTTTATTAAAACTCGACATCACGTTATATGTGTTCTTACACATGTATTCTTACACATAATACACATTATCAAGTATTAAAATCGTTTATATTACCATCGCCATTGTATGTATATATCTGTGTATATGCATGTATCTATAAATGTATGAGTATATATATATATATTTTTTTTTGCTGCACAGATTAAATAAAGAAATGACAAAAGTGCATAGTGCAGTATTAAAATTGCCACATAATCATTGAGAGGAACAAAGATTGTTACGGCTTATATATATGCAATTTGTATGTTTATTATTGACAAGATTTTATAATCGGATGTTATCCGATGGCACTAATAAATTCGCGTTCTATAGATTCGACTCCTAACTGAAAGTAGATTCTAATCTTTTAATTTCTTTAGAAATCTCCATTTTTCGTGCTACTTTATCAAGTATTTCCTTCTCAGGATTTTTCAGAGCACCAGTTTTGATTTTTTCCTCTAATGCTTCAATTTCCCTTACTTTTTTGCGCAGATTTTTCAATCTTTTCTGTGGATCAGCTGTCGACTTTTGTGAGGTGTCTGTATTGTCCTTAATTATATTGTTTATTGTAATTTGTTTTGTAGTGCACAGGGACTTATCATTGTGAGCTGGAACAGCTTTAGGAAATTCAGGTTCTGTGATTGTTACGCTAGACAATCCTTCCGTTATTGTCTTCAAGGTAATAGGTTCGGTAGTCTTAGATTTGTTCTTCTTTTTCTTCTTTTTGGATCCTTCTTGAGTTTTTGCTTGTGCACCAGGTGTTACTTTATTTTTTGCTGCTAGAGCTTCTTGTTTTGCTTTATGCTCAGCTATGAATTCTGGACTGGCACCCACAGGATACAGAGGTTTCTTTATTAGTTGCTTTCCTTTGCTCTCATATCTACAAATGAAAAAGTAGACAATGGTACAATATTATATAAATCATATTAAGAGATATATAAAAATATAAAAGAGCTGGAACCATACAATGGAACTTCCTCCTGAGGAATATACCCATCCTTTACACGTCTTGGTTTACGCCAGGTACCATCAGGTCTTTGACTCGCCGGGATAAAAGTTCCACCTGGAATAATGATCATGGATTTAATTTTAACATTTTTGTATTATATATAGTTAAAACGTATTAACGTTTACAATCCTATATAATTTGGAACGTTTAAAATAAATTAGATAAATATCTCTTCCTTTAATAAACATATTTCCACAACATCTTTTATTATATTTGTTATGATTGTTGAATGAAACTTTAATGCCATCATATATGATCTAACTTTAAATTAAATTGATAAGATTTTTCTCTCTTGCAATAAAGAACACATACAAACAAAGATATTTTGCGAATAAAGACAATCTATTTAAATGTTTTATTTGATAACTGTATGATATGCTACAAGTTTGTTGCAGATAAGCGTTTCTTCAATATGTGTAAGAGCCATCTTGAAGAAACACGGTGTTTCGGGGTACGTGGAAAATCCTTCAAGATTGACTATCTAATTATAGCATATAGAAAGAAAACGATCTATTATTATACGAAATCGATCGTTTACACTTGTTTACACGTCCGATTAGGTTAGGTTAAGGTTAGAACCGGTATATACTGGACCAAATATATTTGATTGCGATACAACAGTGCTAATAATTGACCGTTACCTGATTCATCCTTGATATAAGCCGACGCCATCGCTATATTCTGTTGTATATAGCGTTCGTGAAAAATATATATAAATAAACGTGAAAAATTCTCAACTATCCGCGTGCCATTCCGTGCGATTCTGGGTTGTAGTTGATTGTAATATCGCAGCAATGAATGCATGGTCATTCTCAAAAGATGGCGTTAGTAGTTGTTATTATTGCTGACGATTTCATCGAATTGTAAACAGTGCATTAAGTACCGCACCAACAGATGTCGCAAATGTTTTGTTTACCCGATAGGCCTCGCAAGAGTTTAATCGCGATGGCTTTTTAATTGAAAACTCTATTCCGCAAGCGAAGTGATAAACGCTCACAGAATGTTTTATCGGATCTTTCTCGTGCATATAAATTGTTAAAGGACAGAAGTGAGAGCCGTACAAAGCATTATAAACAATTTTTTCAACAATTATTTAGCGTAGCAACGAAATTTTTTTCTCAGTTCTTATGATTTTCTTTATATGACGTATGGGACGACAACTTTGAAAATATTACAAACTAAGAATTTACTTTTTGAGAGAGAGAGAGAGAGAGAGCTCTTTAAATTTCCGTAAAACTTGATGTGCTATTCCATCGAAACAAAAAATAAAAAGGGGCAGTCATAAAAGCGGCTCCACCCAAAACGAAAATATTCTCTACTGTCCAAAAGATATCCCGCTTGGAACAGAGCAACTTTGATTGTTATTTCAACAATCATCACTTTTGGAGTTAATTGAAAGATTAAGAAATGAAACAGCCTGTATATATTTGCGCGATTTTTACAGGCGTACGTGGATTCGAATAAATTTGGCGTACGTTTTGGTGTACGTAGTAATGAGAGGAAAGAGAGACAGCGAAAGCGAACGATACACCGACTACACCGACTCGGGTAACAGCGAATAAGTAGACGCAAAGCCGAGGGTTAGCCGCTGGTCTAGCCGGGCTGCTTCCGTATATTCCGGGGATGCTGCGCGCGCGCACCGGGGGTTGCGCTCCGGTCTCATCTCAGTTTCGCAGCCTCCCTTTCGCGGCCCGTATCAAGTCCGCCGGCGGCTCAGCCAAAGAGGTGTGCCGTTTCCCGTGTTTCGTTGTCCCAGGTCGCCTGAGGTTGGTCCAGGTAGCCGGTCGGCATCCGGGCCTCGTCCGGTCGAGCCCGAGCTCGACACAACTTCGAGCGATCTCTCTCCATTTCGGTTCGTCATGCTCGAGCCAGATGCATCACTTTGCTCCGGAAGAAAATGGAAACCGTAATCGGTACGTACACCGATACGAATCGCGCATACGTCTCCTCGTCGTAGCCACGAATAACGCACATGAATAGTCGGACGATCCGATCGAGGGCTACGGACTGCTGGTCGAGCCTAGTCTAGCAGCCGGTTTCCCGGTTACGGAGCTCTCGCACCCACCTCACACGTTGCTCCAAAGGTCACCCGGATGGTAACACGAAAAAATGGAAACGCGCGGTGCGTTCGATATATAAGTTCAAAGGCTCTCTAAGGTCAGGGAGCGACGTAGCGAATAACTTGAAAAATCTGTCGGTTACGACGCCTGTATGTGTGACGTGTCACCGTATTATGTAATCACCGTTGAGCAGCAATTGGTTTCGCCTAACAATAAGTTCACGGGAGTCATATATGATATATAACTATATTTTGTTCCTGCACGTTCGAGGGTCTACATGTCGTTCTGTCGCGTTAGTGATGCGTTTTCTACGTGACGATAAATCGATGATCACAGCTGCGACACTTAACTTTGTAAAAGTATATTCGAAATTTCAGAATTTGTATCGCGCGATTGAACGTTGAATCGGAGACGTACGGCTTGAAATTCTAAACGCGACTAGATATATAACGATTAAAAAATATTAATGTAACGTTGGCGATTGATTAACGGGCGATTGTTGAACGAAAGTCAACAATCTCTTCTAAGAAATGAGAGACGAAAAGTAATGTTTATCGCGGCGAATGCGCTCTGTGACACGCTCTGCGACTGCAACTCGAACGTTCTGCGTCAAATTGCAAATGAGCCAAAGTGCATTAGGTGCATGCTGTTATCGACTTTCGGCGATCAAAATTGTGCGCGTGTGGAGTCGAAAGCCATCGATGGGACGCTATTGCGCCATCGCAATTACGAGTACCATAACGTAACGGCAAGCCTCCGCCCGTTGGACGAGGCTCCAATGTCCGTCCAATTTTATCCCTCATCTCACGAAAATTCATCTTCTATCCTACTAACTCACGCAAACTCGATTCCCGGGACTGTGGAAGCGAGCGTTGCGCGAGAAGAGTAATTTCCTAGTCACGTACTCAAATCCCGACGAGGTTACTGAGCCACGAAGAACAAGGATTGTACTTTGTGTTAGTCGACGCTACCTCTTTGTCGCGATTCGCCAAAATGTTCAACTTTAGGCGGAGATTTAAGTGGATCGAGAAACCAAAACTGCAATCTCTCTTCGAGACACAAGATCGCATAATGCATTTCAAATTTCCATTTGTGGGAGATAAGTCGATATTTTTATTAATATATAATATATAATATATAATAATATCCCAAGGGATACATATTCTCTCCGTAATGTGTGTAAACGCGCTGAGAAAAATTTCATCTTTCCGAGTTTCTATTAATAAAAGAAAGAAGTTTGATGCCGCAAGACAAAGTCGCGGTCGCGCGCATCCATCGAATGCTTTACAGCGCGATCAGTTAAGAGTTAAGGCATGAGCCTCTAGAAGAGAGCTGTGTCGTGGCGTGTTGAACGGCTTTACCCAAACTGCGGTCCTGGACCTTGCAACCTCTCCCTTCGCCTCACCTCCCTCTTCCCGCCCCTTTCATCGGACATTGCACCGATGCAGGCGAAGCGTATGAGAAACGGCTGCCTCGCCAAAAGATGGGATCGTCACCCGCGGAAGGAGATGGCAACTTGCGATCTCGGCGGTATGCTCTCGCACATTGTGAGATCCGTTCTTCCTTGGTTTCTAGAATGCAATCTGCCGCGAAGTGGAATTTCGACAGACCTGTATAACTCTCCTTGTGTCTATATTCCACAATATTTTAAGCAGAACGTCAAATTATTAAATGTTATGTGCAAACATTGCAAGATCATGAATAATTAAATCTTTCATTTAGGCAGATGGGAAATTTATACGCTAAATTTCTCCAATAAATGCCGTACAATAAAGCTCCATTCGACACTTGATGCTGAGAGAAACCTTGGGAAAGTCTTTAGACAAGGTCACTCAATTGCGATTCTTTGATATTCTTCTCTTTCTCTCTCTCTCTCTCTCTCTCTCTTTCTCTCGCACAATTTGGAATCGCCGGGCCGAGTAATATTTTTCTTCCTGAGATGGCAGCGCGACAACACTTCGATTTTTACTTTATCGCCGCAGTCTTGAAAAGAATGACCCGAGAGGTGCCGCGAACCGTACAGAGAGCACGCTTAACGCTAGATTGAACCTTGTCTCTACATACCTTGTCCTCGTTACATAGAATGTTGCAGCGCGCTATGGCGCACTTTGCGGGACGCGAGTTCGTCAAACAGGCCACGACGTATATATCGCACATGTAGCGACATTATGCGCGCTACATAGCGTATCGAGTACACTGAATACCCATCGCAATAGCGACAGCGACTCCGTGTGCGTAAGATTGTCGCCTGGGGTTTCGCGGTGTGTCGCTTGCGTATGTATCGACCGGTGTAATCGTTGCTTTATAGCCTGTATAAGACGCTCATGCATATATATGACGTATAATACATACCGTGTGCCACAGTTTTCCAGTGAAATTATCTATAAAAGGTGTATCGCATTATTCGATCACTCACGTAACTTCATGACTGCTCCTTTCATGTTGTCTGCCAACAAATGTACCTTTACGTTACTCCCTGAAAGTAGTTTCCGTTGCTCCTTTCAGTTTTCGAACTTTGGATCGATATTACACCCCCGCTCATTTCTTTGTTGATTATAATACACATGAGGTCAAGGTAAAAGAAAGAAAAAAATTACATTGTCTTGTATGTTACATATAAAAATGCGCTAAAAGCAAAAGTAATCGGAAGATATTGTAATTTTCAATTTTCTGTTTTTTTTTAACATGGGATGGTTACAGACGGTTTCTACAGATACGATTATACAATATATTTGTAAATTAAATGATAGATGTAGATAGATATTACAACTCAAATTGTCGTGTGCGCATACATACACACACACACACACACACACACACACACACACACACACACACGCATGCGCGCGTGCACATTAATTATAGTTTGATGAAACTGAAGATAAATCTTTGATTAATTCCGATAATTTTAATTAAACGACAACAAAATATCTTGTTACAGTGACACATCAAGATTTGCCAAGAGAATGAATTTCGTGCACGCGAACGACATTTGTGATGGATCGCCGTGCGAATATGGAAAAGGTGAACGATAAAGGAGAGAAAAAGAGGCACGGGTAAATACAGATGAAGCAGATTCCGACCGTAAAATTTTCCAAAGCGATTTATCTACTTTTTTAACATAACACTGGCAGCTGGCGAGGCAGATAAGCGAGCGGCGAAATTGCAAAAAAATTGCATTTGACAATGCGAAGAAGAAATCGAGAGAGAGATTTGTCTCTCTATCGCCATGCTTTCAACGTGGTGTCTGATCATCGTTACTAAGGCAAAAGTGAAGCGGGACGAGAACTCCTCGTGTCATCGCGCCGACGTCTAGTCTAACGTCAAAGTTCGCTTCGGATGAAATGGCGTGTGTGGGCGACTGCATGTATATGTACATATATTTGCATATACATACATGAAAATGTGAGGTTTACATATTTGCGATACATTAGCCCATCGACGAGCGCATCCTTTGCGATGCCTATTATCACCGCGACGTGATAAATTTACTCGGAATTGAGGACGCGATAAGTAACCCGGGGAGAAAAACGCAATGAGTGTGGCACGAAAGAGCGAGTGCAGCGTAAATCGTCATCTGGTTAGTCTTGATTTCGCATCCATCTTTCGAATCGATATGGACTCGTCTGGCCGAATCTCTTGGTAATGTGATGTATCGGCGGGCACGAATCAAATGGCAGAAACGATGACACACAACCGTACAGCGTACACTAGAACAACGGTGAGGAAGCTGAATCTCACGCCGATGACACTGCTGCCTTCCACCGTAGTCGCGGCCGCGATTAACGCCGAGGCGACGATTCCCACTAATCCGTCCACAGTAGTGACGGGCGATTCTGCAGCCGTCACTACCGTCAAACCGCACCATCACGTCTACAACGTGACGGGATACCTTGTCGAGCACGATGAGCTCGATCATAGTAAGTATACGGTATCGCGCAGCATATCATGAACGCTATTATGCACATACGAAATGTATACGGCAAAAAAGACAAGACTTGCTGTCACAGCATTCGAAAATCTCACTAGCTTAATAAATCCACAGCCATAATATACCGACAGTCAGTTTGCTACGTTATAACTGAGTCGCAGAGCTTTGTAAGATTTGTATATACCTAATAAGTTTTGATGTTATAGCATGACACGGTTTGTTAGCACAACCGAAACAATTCTCTACCACACCAGTGGAAAACATAATACACAATTATTGCTCTTCTTACTCTGTTGCATCTTATTGCTCTTGTATCAAAGGAAACTTGGAAATACATTAATGGATCTTGTTATAGCTGAATAATTAGTTGTTCCGGCAATAGAATTTAGTTAAAGCAGCAATGCTGATTGAAAAGTCTGGAATATTTACACTCTGCAACTACATTCAAATAGTATAATAAAATATTATAAATGTAAATACACACATACGCGTACATAAAGATAATTTATATCAATATGCGTTATATCACAAATACACACAGTTATTAATATAAAAAGAAAAACTAAAATTGCGTAATGCGTAATAATATTTTTCATTACGGATATTTGCACTCACAGATTTATTGTTAGTGAGAGTGCACTTCTCTGTAGAACAAACAAAAATTGTTTTTTATTATTTATTGAGCAAGTTCAATATTTGTTTAATAAAATTAATTTTTCGCAAACTTCAATTTTTTTATTATTTATATTGCAATAATTAAGATAACATCAAAATGAAGATAGGTTTGCTCTATGAACAGATTGAGAGAGACAATTATTTCCACGCATAATTTTCACATAAAATCTACCAAATTTGCTTAGTTATAACGTTTAATTTTGCTCAGCAAACTGTAATTGCTACACTAAATCAATCAAACTATTTCTTTTTATGCACAAATATTCGATGAAGAACCTAAGGAGTTACCATAGAACTGTTCGCGATGGAGTCCAATCGGAATAATCCCGTTTTCTCTAGAACACACAATAGATCGAGGAAATAACGGAATCATTCCAATCAATATCGATCAGTTCCACAATCAGCTTCTCTGCAGTGCGATTCTGTAATTCGTTAACTATTGTTAACGAGTTGTTGTTGATGCTGCACAAGTATATAATATGTGTTAAGATGCGCAACGACACACAGTGCTAGTGATATTGTCGTTAATGACAAACAGACCCTGGTTTTCTCTTTGCGAGGCGAAGATCGGGAGGGACACTCGATAAGTCCTTCGATAAAAACTCGAAAGCTGTTCTTTTCAAATCAATTATATCCTTAATGTGCTGTTAAAAACTTGTGACATTATTGCCGAAATGTCGCGAGTGCATAAATTACTGAATGATCACCACGGGAAAAGTGATCATGGCCGTTGCTACGTATCGCCAGCTAGTAAAACGACTCGAGTTATTATCGTCCTCTCGCTCCAAGAATTTCACGTTTAACCCGAAATATAATAATTTCAGGTATTCTCGCCAGCTTTTCAGACATACAAACCGTTTTACTCGCGTGCATATCGACGTTATTACCGCTGATCATCGCCTTGGGGATCGCCTTCGGTGTCAGGTATGCTAATTTTGCCCGTTGCGAAAAAGATACGGCATCTGTGGCGTCCAATGCGAGAGCGCCAACCAGTTGTTCTCTAACGCGCGTAATCAACGACAAGTTTCCCTAATATGTATATCATTTGCGCGTTCCAGGCATGTGTGGCGAAAATATCGAAACGACCGGGACAGCGGGAATGGCTTACCTTGGTACAAGAGCGCGTGTACTCGCGATAACACGGTAGAAACGCAACGTCGTCATTCGCATTCCGGAAATGTTCCCGTTCAAGCTGCCACGAGGGTTCTCTCCGCGCAAGACGTAAGTCTTGCTGACAATAGTCTTTTTAACATTTTCGCGTTTGTTACCCAATCCGACAGGCATGAAAGAGGGAGAGATCGATGTGCAAACTAACAGTGCGTTAAATCAATTTTTCCTCCCTCCTTCTCGTCGAACAGATTACGAGTGTTGTATATTAACGAATATACAACTCTCTTAATATGAATCAGTCAAAATGTCTCTGATTGAATCAGTAAAAGAAATACTTCATCGATCAGAGATCGGATTGAGAACCAGTGAAAACACTTTCCTTCTTATTTTTCACTGATTCTGACCAGTGGCTGTGCGATTTCACTCTAAAATCAATAATACACAAAGTTTGTTGTACGTTGTTCCACGTATACGTTTGCGACAATGGAATTAACGGCCTTCATGCGTCTCGCGTGCAATGGTACAGTCTGTGTTCGCAAAGTGCATCAATAATCGAAATATTCGCTATTACACTGAGAGAGAAATGGTTGATCTGACGAAAACTATAGCCTTTTTATCCCAATCACATATTTTTCGGCTGCTCTAACACGAAAATGTTATAATATAATATGTAGTAATATGCAATACGAGGTTATTATCTCTAACATTATAATGAAATTGAATATATAAAATATATAAAATATATAATTGAATATATAAAAAAATGATTTCCTTGATCATAATTTATAGCAATTATTTCTCTACATAATTCCAGTTAACATTACGAAACATTTTTTGCTTAGTATATAAGCTGATCCTTTCAGCGAGATTTTGCTACTTTGTAATGCTATACTTATAACTGTGAAACCACCAGTTATAAGCATGGAATTTCAGTGAAGAATATATCGATTATATTTTAGAGAGAATATCGCGTTGCAACAGGTGTACAGGCTTGCACAGGTGATTCGTCAAACCGCTCGTGAGATTTCTCGCAGACGAAATGAGACTCCTCGCAATCATAAATAATACGAGCGGCACCACGCGGCAAAGAATTTACGATTAGCCCGATGAAAATACCCTGTGAACTTTAATGCTGTCGATACGAGATCACTCGATTCACGTGTGTCCACGCTCGATTACTTTGCACGACGCGGTTTGTAACCACGCAAATACCGTCGACCTTGGTCTAAATCTTGAGGCTGTGCTGTAATAGAATACGCGACGAGCATTTACAGAACTGCCCCAGATCGCGCAGAGAAATGAGACAGAAACGCAAGAATGCATCACGCAACTTAGAATTGTCTTGGTGTCATTGTCACGGAGTCAATTGTTGACTGTCGCGATATCCTTTCGCGGAGCATTCGCGCGCGCGCGCGCAGCTTTTGCGAGAAGCAGAAGCCGAAAACTATGCACTGCGGACGTACCGTTACAACGCTTTGCATTTAATAGCGATGCATCGCCGAGCCGTTCGGCTCATTGGCCTCGTTTCACTTTTTCGCTGGCAAATTCTTTCCGGCTAAAATCTCATTCGCGCAAAATACACTGCACTACGCGAGTTCGTTCCAATTTGCCTCTTGTGTGCGGATACCGTGTAGTTTCTTTCTATTAAATAAATTCAACTGAAGGGCGCGCTCGTGCAAAAGTAAACGCAATCTTTAGGGATCAAGCGAATGCGACGTAATGAAAAAAACGTTTGTCAATTTTATATATCGAGAATTTTAAGAGGCATAGAGAGCTAAGACCTCGTACATGTTGCAAAAAGCAGCGCAGTTTAATACCAAACATTGTACTTTCAACAACGGGCGAGGCATTATCGTTCGCATATGCACATTAATTAACAAAGTGAGCAGAGCGGATATTTTGTTTTGCCGATCAATCTGCACTCACTCAGCTTACGTAGAGAGGAATCCATTAACTTTGTCTACCAATTAATGCGGTGCGGTGCGTATTGCACGCCGCGAGCGAACGAGCGTCCACGCACTCGTCGTGTGTGGGTGAACACACGTTTGCGAACACATAACGCATGCATTAAACGCACGTCGACGTACATTCACATGTGTGCGTATGACTCAGCCAAAAATACCGTACGTCTGCTTGGCTCGAGGACGGCGGGATTGACCTGATTTTAATTTCGCGCGTATGCAATCGCGATAACGGCATTTAGCTGAATATGTCGAGTTTTTGTCGATGCATATTTATCGCATATTGTGACTCGCTCTATTCTTTCGTTTCGTCGAACCCGCCACCGTCAGCGCGCGGATGCAAATGCGCGGGTCACGAAAAGTGCAAAGATGCGCGTAACGTTCACGGAAACAAATGCGAAATGCGGTGCATTATCGCGGATAAATCTTTCGTTAGTCGTATGTGAGGAGTGTGACTCGCACACGTAACACACGGGGGGAACGAATATTTCTTCTTTTTCAGCACTTGAAAATAATAAAATGGATTCCTGCGAATATACGAAGCCATTAAAATATAAGATTGAAGTGAAATCCGAATGGATTTCTCAAAACATCGCGCGAAAATCGGCGATATTGCGTCGTATGCGTCGAGCGATGACTATAAGAAAGCTTCGCCTACTAATGAAATATATTATACGTTATTGTAATATATTATACTTTCTTTGTCACGTACACACGCACACACACACACACACACACACACACACACACACACACATGCACCATTCGCCTGCTCCAACCGAAGTCTGTGGGGCAAAAGGGCATATGATGCATAAACACTGACGTTGGTGAAAGTTGCATACGATGTTTGACTTCTGCAATTAAACCGGGCCAGCTTTCCATGCGTGGCAATTCGTTTCTTGCCAAGAGACGGTTTCATTAGTACCACGAGTTGTCCACCTCTATAATTTCGCCTCTCGTAATTCATTTTATATATTTTTCGGGAAATTTCGTGGTCGATTATTTCCGATTTTCTGACATGATAGCACGCGATCGCTCGCGGTCGTTGCGTAAAATGCTTCGTAGAAATATTCATCTCTCGCATTGTTTCACTGAGTATGGATGCGACATTTAATTAAATAAATTTTTAACGCATTATTACCGATTATATCGCGTGCCGTTTTATCCCCTGTCGATGATGCTTTGTCTACAAAGATCCATGACACGTTTTTGAGACTTACACAGTAATTATGTAATTTTGTGATCATACAAACGTATTTCACGCACAGATTTGTTTTTGGACTTGTGGGCACACACACACACACACACACGCACGCACACATTGTTCAGTATCATAAAATATAAATTGCACGTCACTTTTGTCACGATGTAAAATATGTAAACTCTCCTTCACATGTTGCACACGCATCTTACAAAATGATCGTTTAACGATTGAATACTTATATCTGAAACGAGCACCTTCAAAGCTACAGAACCCGTGTGTGAGTGTACGTAAAAACCAAGAAGCTGATTTCGCAACGGAAACGCGGACGTACCTGGCTAGCAGTTTTTGCCATAGGAGAAAATTTATCGCGCGAATCAAGGCCGAAGCGTACTCCGGAGCGAAGCAAAGTAGCAGTGCAACTTTCATTGATCACACGTGTCCCTACGGCATTAAATACACTCGAGAGAGCCGTGAAACGGAGCAGCGAAGAAACGATTCGTGATCATTCAAGGCGTGCAGTTACTTAACGAAGGTAGAAAAGTGGATTTAGCTGATGCACGTATTCGGAGAAGCTGTTTGTAGCGATGCGACGCACTCATGGGATACATTCGATACTCGCCAAACTCATTTCTTGTTTTCTTTTTCTACTTCCAAAAGGATGGAGTCCTCTCGAATTTTATCGATCAGGACTCCATCCGATCGATGAACTCGACGGCACACACGCACATGTTATGTATTTTTCGTCATATTTTCACTGACTTTTATTGCCATTGGTCAGAAATAGCGTTGTTACGGATGATTTTGTCACTATGCCATTTAGTATCACTGACGCGTACTATTGCTAAAAAAGAAAAAAAGAAAAACAGAAAACGGATGATGTACACCGTATATTTCATCGCACTGCTTGGACTTTAAACTGTATGCTCAATCACGCGTCAACCAGGAAGTGAGCAAATGAGATTTTGATATTTTTGTAAATTTAAAGAAATATGATGCGTGCTACGCGCGCGTACGTAAAAAATTTAAACTTCAAATTTAAACACAAGAAAAAGACGCATTTTACAAGATATAATCACGATAGAAAGGGACTCGGAAGAGTCCATCAGTGTGGAAAAGTCGGCGAATACTTCAATAATAGATATTTATGTACAATCATGTGCGCAAACATATTTTTCAAATGTCGGATAATGTTCGTAATCAGAATGGAATATTAATTTCGCATTAGAGACTCACGTTCCAAATATAAACACTGGATTTGTGCAGATTGGTTACATTGTAAGAAAGAAAGGAGAAGAAAACTTAATTCTCTCACTCAAATATTTATAAACGAATAGTTGTTACATCAGTGATGGATACACACAACGATTAGATGTCACCGATGATCGAGTTCCTTACTTTGCCTTCCGATTGCATCCAAGGGAACGGTATCCAAAAAAGTACGCATCGATATATCAGATGTCGGTTATAACAATAACAACAATAACAATACCGAGCGAGAACGCACTCTTTTTTTTATTTCACGTCCGACTCGCGAGGACGAGAGCGAGTTTTCACAGAGCGGTCGGCGGGCCACCAATGTCGCACCCGCACTATTTTCCAGTAATAGTAAGCGCAGCGCTTGTCTATGTCGGCCGCTAGTTGCTCGCGTAGTACTCGGTGGTGGGGGGTACCGCGCGCCTTCTTAAAGCTTTGCGGTTTTTTCAAAAGCAGCGCGCTACCCCCACCGCTTCCGTTCCTAGCCCCCACTACTCGGATCCCGCGTTGTACCACCGCGGTATACGAGCAGTCCCGCGCCCCTCTAAATCGCACTTTCCCGTCCTGTCGCTGCATCACCGCGATCTCTCCTCTCGTCGCACCGCCGCCGCACCGTTGCATTCGCCCTACGCGTTCCCGCATGACTCCTTCTCGCCATCCTTGGCCATGCTCGTATCGTATCTACATTCTAC